CGGTTCGACACTCTGGTTCGATCAGTGCATGAAGGAGTACCAGGAACATAATGGCGCTATTGCTCACTGGGGTCCACTGGGGTCAAAGAATCATGCTCCAAGGAGGTACTCCAGCCGAAGTAGAAGCTGCCGCCTCCGAGGAACCGAGGCGCAGGGCTCAGATTGAGACACCGCCGTCGCCCGGTGTCTCATCCTCTCAACGTCGTCGTCGTCATCTCGCATAGAAAAATCGAGCCCGCTGGCTTAGACAAGGCAGCACCTGTTCCCACCGTTCAGGGGCCGTGAAAGGATTGCGGCCAGCGATTTCTCGAAGCAGCCAGAGGTTCTTGACCACCGTGAAACGTTTTCTGGGGGACGCCTTTTGACACAAAGTCTACGCAGCTTCTTAGTGCAGCGAGGTTCATAAAGGCCCGTTCACACTCTTGCGACCGAGTTAGACCGAGAGAGACCAGACCGGTTTTCAAGCCTCTTGCGACTTCTTAGGACCAGCTCCGCTGCATCGCATCCGGTCCTAAGTAGTCGCAAAAGGCTTAAAAACCGGTCTGGTCTCTCTCGGTCGAAGTCGGTCGCAAGAGTGTGAACGGGTCTTAACGGTCAAGCGCGCTCCCAAGCATGATTTCAAATAGCGAGCACCCACCTTTCCAGAAAAGCACCATCTAGTGAACCTTTACTGAGAGTGGAACGTACTTCTTAAAATGGCGACGATAGCGGAGCTGACGCTCCACGCTCAAATCCCAGAGCGGGTCGCGCATGCGCGATGGCGACTCCGCTTTCCATAGAGCGGAGCGGGAAAGCGAAAACGGTCTACTAAAACTCTCTAGTGATTGCTCGCTACTGCTCGCGACCGGCTGCACAGCATCGCGGCCGGTCGTAATCACAAGCTGCTTAGAAACTGGTTGGCGCACAGTCGGTCTCAGTCAAACGCAAGTGTGTGAATCAGCCTTTAGACGATGGACAGAATATTTCTTCCGGTGGCTCTCTGGCATCTTCGTCAATAAAACTCGTCCACAAGCGGTGAGACGCCCGCACGGAAACCAATCCAAAGTCGTTGGTAACCCATCGAAGAAGGGCTCCCCGTGGTATCCACCCCTGTGAATACTAAGACGGCATACTGGCAACTTGCCTTAGCCTCACGGTGTCATTTATTTTAAAAACAACATACGCCCCGAGTGCATCACATCCTTTCGAAAACCGATTAAACATTATAGCACAGCTAGTCACGCGAAAGATTGCCAAGCCGTCGAAACACTACTCAACACAATAGCACTCTGCGACGTTCGTGCAATGTCATGTGCACTGGGCAAACGGCTGTTATGGTGATTCCGAACGTCAATAAAACCATCACGTCACATGTCATGTCGGTTGATTTAATGCTAAACCTGGGATTTCTCGGAAGCTTGAGCCTCGTAGAGGTAGCATTCCGCGGCGAGAGTCTAATTCCATCACGTTCGACCAGGGCACGCGCACCACTACGTCTTCCCTTTTAAGAATTGCAAACGACCCCAAAAAGTGTGCTGCGATTGACAGAGCGGCAGCTGTAGCGTTCTTGAAAGATAGGCTTTAGTAGATTTGCTTTTAGTCGATGTATTTTAGGACATTCGCTTTGCGAGCTTTATTTTTAGTAGAATAGTTGTAGAAGATGAACATTAGAAAATGTGTTTTTTGGGTTTTCTTTTTTTTTTTTTTTTTTGAGGAATGATTTTACGAAATTTGCTTTGACGAAATGTGCTTTTGTCGAAAATGACATCGAGACATGTTTTGTTATTGAAATGCTCTTACAGAATGGGGTTGTTCTTCACGTTTTCTTTTGAGAAAAGTGCTGGTTCTTGTTTTGTGGTATAGTATAGTTCGGCAACTGCGAGGACGGCCTTGTGAACCGTGTAGTAAACCGCAATGTACGCTAAGTCTCGAATGCTGACGTTCCTTGCAGATACGAAATCGATGCACATACCGTGCGTGGTAGTGGGTTAACGGACGTCAGTGACGAGGGTGGCTTTAATGCTATCGGCGACAAAACAAGGTAACAAATACCCGTCTTTGGAAACATCTACGTTAAAAAAACCGACCACAATGAGAGGGAATAGTATGGATCCAAATTGCGAACACAATAAATCCCGCACGTCATTTGGCGGGGTATTTTGCATACGCGCCGTAGAACGTACCGCCTACAATTCCGAAGCGGCGGCGGCGGCGACAGCTGTGGTTACGGAGTTGCTCAGCACACGGTAGATAAGAAAGCCTTAGAGCTTTAATCCGTCACTAAAGAAGGCCGGGGTAGTCTAGAGACTTGGCATTACTACGGCGTCAGCGTTCGGCTAGGAGGCGTGTTCTCACTGATTGGGCACGAGTTCCAACCGGCCGCATCTAAGTCTACTCTTCAATCGTCAGAGGTGCGCTAGTTCCATCATCTGAAGACGGCAGACACACAGCGATATTCACAGCTCCATCAGAGAACTGCACGTCTTGGTGGATGCCTTTTATCAAGGTCGCAGTCAGCATCGCTGTTATCTACCCAAAACAAAATCAAAACATTCTGGACGCTTATACCCACTACCGTGAATCAAACAGCCCTTTCTCTTTCTGAGAGACGCTAGTGCCATCGTCAAGCGCAATATTTTATTAACAGGACGACTTCTGCGATGCCCATGAGAGCTGCGCATCGGCGAGGAAACCAGAATAGTCTAACCTTTCATTGCATTTTTCAATAGAATGACCATGTTCTTTGAAAACGCCTCCCGACCTTCTTTAGCGCCTACCTCATTCGCCTGTTCGCGCTTTTGCCATTGAAGATCAACTGACCTATTTACTTCGGGCTCTCGCCCTACGTTATTCACCGCAGCCCACTGAAGCGAAAGGAAGATCGATCGTTCTCGGGCAGGGCTGTTTCTCCCTGAAAGACTATACCTCTGACCCTGCGAATTTCTTATCGTTCATTGGAAATAGCGCAAAATTTGTAGCTCCCGAATCCCGTGCGAAAGCTTACCGGACAAAAGCTCACCGGACAAAAGCAACCCATTTTTTCACAGACCCGGACAAAAGCTCACCAAGAGAAACTTTCATGTTGGTATTAACGCGAGTGTGGACAATTTAGCTGCATGCCTGTGGCACTAAAATGCAACGATAAACTAAATCTGACAGGCGCATGATTTGCTGACTAGAGAAGAAACAAGTTTATATATCGATTGGTTAGGAACGAATACAGTCCCTTAGTATAGCTCCAGCAGTTTTAATAGATCTCGGTGTATCTGGAACCCCTCGCAAATATTTTTCAGACGATTCTGCAGGTGCCAGAGTGGTTTTTCGCACCCGCTTCACTGGGGCCTCACTTCTCCTGGCTTGTGTCAATGCCGTGGCAACGAGCGCATGATTTTGCTGTGGGAATTCAATCAGCTTCCAGACACTTGGATGGGCGTGGCCAACAAGCTTCTGGAACTTAATATTCCATCCGTCGCAGGTGTTTTTCGTCTGGTCTTTATCTTGAAGAGTGGCGTCGTACATGTTCCACCGCTTCAGGGGAAACTCCGAACGTCGTCGGCGCACAGTCAGGCAAAGGGAAGAATTCGCTCTGGGTGCCGCCGCAGGAGGAGCAGAAGTATAACGGAAGGAGCCGTTGACATACCGATGTAACCCGTAGACTTTTCACTGACGTAGGTTAGTCCTTCGGGCACAAGCTGTGGCGGAATAAACGTCAGCCTATCCAAAATCCCGCACAGCTTTCTAAATTGGTTATCTGAATTGTACTTATCCAAAAGGCCCAATTCCGTTCCTTCAAAATATTTGTAAAAATTCGCAACTCATTGGTGCGTATATTACGGTTTTGCTTCAATTTCCCTTTCAAATCACCCTGAGATAATCCTTGATTTCAAATACATTTACGACGCACAATGACCGAAGCAATTTAATTTTCTTAGGCATTCACTTCAAATGTTACCCTGAAATCCAAGAAAACACATGCATTAGTAATGAAGAGACATTGTGCCTAACCTTTATGTGCGCGTCTAGCGTGACATAAGCACAATGAAAAAGCGAGGTCACCGAGGGGTGACTTCGCTTCATCGATCCCTCTTCGGGTTCAAAAACTTCGGTTCACGAAGTTTTTTGGCCTTGGCACAAAGGTGCTACCTTGAGTCAAGCAAGCTTGATCTTATCAGCCCTACTCAGTTTCGGAGACCTAAATTTTAGTCCCAAATCGTTGCTCCTTTGCCTGTTATGGCTTATGTGTCGACACCTCTGCATGGGATGGCGTACCAGACCTCTGAAAATGGTTCAATATCCATCGCGTCCGCACTTCATCCCAACCCGTGTTTCGCCCGGGTAGCAAAAAAAAAAAAAAAAAAAAAAATAGGGAAGCTTTTGGTCCGAGTCTGTGAAAAAACGCGTGAGCTTTTGTCTGGTGTGCTTCTAGTCGGTGAGCATTTGCACGGTTACCGTAGCTGCCGTAGTTCAAATACGAGATTAGGACTTCGCTGTCATATCCGCGTGTGTCACCCCTGAACCTAGCTATAGGTATTATGGGAAAACTTTCTGCCATTAAGCGCTTAAGTAGTCAGATCGCCTAATTCTTTGGGGTACATGCAATGCTCGAACTCTGTAATCAATATGAAGCTACAGCGTCAATGAAGGTAGAAAGGTCAGGTTGGGATAGACGCCTGCAGGAAAGGCACAGGAATAAAAGAAAGGAGACAAACAGAACGAGGACAGAACAAAGCATGGTCTTCCCTTTCCTTTTATTCATCAGGTTGGAACTTCGTTCAAACGCTCGATCATGCTATAGCTGTCTACTACTGCTCACGGTCGAAGAACGCAAGGGTTAGCCGCGGACAAGTGACCGTGGTTCTTGCATTGTCGACACGACGGTACCTCATTGGCTCCTCGGTCAATTAGAAAATGTCATATCGACGACGCCACATTCATCACCCCCGGACACCAATCCCATACCTGCCACAACCAATCCGCGTGGCGCGTACACAGCATGCAAGTAAAGAGAGCTGGAACCGCAGTACAGTGCACGTTTTCGTTTCTTTTTATTACCGCAACGTATATACAACTACTTTCAACAGTGTAAACAGCATGATCCCCGTGCGAGGACACCGGCTACGGCGAAGGGATTACTCCCCCAGCCACATGATGCCCGGCTCCCTAGCGCATCCGTATAGCTGTCCTAATCAATCATGTTCTCAAAAATAAATGCTGCCCGGTTTCTATGTACATACTCCGTGAACGCCTGTCGCCTGATCGAAGATCTTCCAAAAATATGATCTTCCTTTCTCCACTATTTTCACTGCCTTTTCCCCACATCTATAAAGCCCTAGCTGGAAGATGCACTATGCGGGTGACGCCACCAGTCAGTCGATCAACAGCGAAGCATGCGAAACGGAAACGCAATGAGGTGCACAACGCTTTTAACGGTTAGCTGCACAACCTGCTTACAGGAATGTTCCTGCTTATGACGCGATAGATATGGTGAGAACAGATTCAAGAGAACATAATGTTGCGAAGAGGAGGAAAACCCGATAAGCACCGGACGAGTGAAGTGAGGAGGACGAAATTGGGCAGCTTTGTGTTCCGAACAGTAACCACAATTTTTCTGCCTTTTATTTCTCTCGCGAGCAATCAAAAAATTGTTAATATTTCGCTTGCTCGCTTGTTTTTTTTTTTTATATTGGTTTACTGCACAAGCGTTATTGGCTTGCTGAAAATGACAGGACACGTTGAAGAGGAACCCAATTTTGGCACGTCTGTGCAATTTTAAGAGATATAAAGCAAAGCAATGTTCAACATGCTTTATACCAAGCTGTAACTTATGAGTATTGTTTTGTTTCATTGCATATTATCATATTAAAATTTTTTTTCTTCGGGCGCGCGAATTGTGTCACCTGCTAGCAACATCTCTAAACTGAGGTTTGACTGACCGCAAGTTTAACATGGCGCCACTTTCAATAGAAATCTGTTCCATACGCGAAACCAGCGACAACAAACCTTTCGATTCTGCTGTCGCGACCTCTCCCACCCTTTTATATATTTTGTACATAATCAAACTTTTTTTTCTTTTCTTTTTACGTATTTCTAGATATTGCACTACGGACCTTGTGTTTTGATAGTACGTCACATGCTTCAGTTCCTCAATTTTAAGGCTCAAGAGCACTTTGGCTGCACAGGCACATGACATGCGCCGAAGATTGGGTAAAAACATGCCGGAGAATTACAAATCTTTCCACGAATTATAGCAAAAGGTAATGAATGGCACGTGACGCATTGCTCTGAAAGACACCTTCGGAGGAAGTTAATCTCAAACTTGCCATAAATTATGGTAACTTTAACAGAAAGCAGCTAAACATTGTCCTTCACTCTTTGTCCCTTCTGTTTTATGCTTAAGTTGCGTTGGAGCGTCGGAGTCACAAACCACCTCACCTACATCGTGGCTTTCACACACATACACACACACAACAAGCTTTATGCAAGTGGAGAACCGCAGTGCGTTTTCCTTTAACACTGCGATGCAGGCGACAGGGTACGGGAATCACACGGCTATGCCGACACACTGGAACAACAATGTACAAGATTTTCTTATTACGTTTCTAATGTACAATGGGCGTCTTCAAAACGAAAAAAAAAGGACAAGGTTTACAAAGGGGGATCATCACAAGGTTGGGGACTACAGTCTCCCTGTGAACGCCACGAAGGAGTATTCCTGTCTACCCGCGACACAGCATTCACGCGAATAAATAGCATGGGAACAATTTGTACAACTTTCGACTCTTTTTTTTTTTTTTTTTTACTTTTGTCTTTTGCGCGACCATATAGCGCGCCGGTCCATCCGTTTTCTTTGAGGTGCTACGTTTGCGCCACCAGGTTGGAAAGGTCAGAGGGGCGCCGGTTTTGCTTTCCTCCACTCGGGATGCGGAGTGTCGATGTTCAAATCACTATTCGCAAAAAAACAGTGGCCTCCCTTTCACTGACATTTCCCGGTTTCCTAGGGTAAACATAGCACCCCCTGTTTGACACTGCGCTCATCACTATGCTGGAGAAAACCAAACTTGTCTGATGAGACATTTCGCGTAACCTAGGTCATGCAATCTTGCACCAACATTATTATGCACGCCTGTTTCCATTCTGCTAAAGTCGACTACATTCAAAATGAGCACCATCCACAAAACACAATTGTTCCTTTCCTTAGTCACCTCCAGATTCACTCTCTGAGGGATTACGAGTCCATCCGACGCCAGTACCACCGTCTTGCTGTCGCAATCCGCCGAAACAAGACATTAGAAATTTGTCCACAATTCCTGCAGCTCACACTTCGTATTTCGGAAGGAAATGCGAGGTAGTAACCTTGCCCACCCAACAAGTTCGGTTTCGCTGAGAGCATCAAAGCAAACGAAAATATCTCGACATGCAACGTAAGTAGTAGGCCGCAGGCCCAGCCGAGTAATCTCAGTGGTGCGAGGGACGCGTACCAACGTGGCAGAAGCCACTACGACAAGTCCTGCGAAGCTCTCACATCATTCAGTACAACACTGAACAATCCACACACCGTTACGCGCGCTCTTTCTCCCGAGACTATTTCAGCAAAAACGAACGACGGAGTTGATACACGACGACACGTATATTTCTCAGTCGTGCCTACGAATAGTGGGGACAGTGTGTGCGCATCAACTCTGCCCGCTATCTGAAGGGTGGCAAAGGTTACGGACAACAAATAAATTTGTTCGTTGACGCGCCTCTAGCTACCAACAGGCTCGACTCGACGCCTCAGCTACGAGGCCTATTAACTACATTCTTCCTCGCTCTCTATCAAAGAGTGATCACAGACTTCCAGCGACTGTGGTCCTGTTTGTTCTCGCGCTTCCGTACCCCAATGGAAAATGAGAAATTCCTAAAAAAGAAAGAAAACGACGTTAAGAACGGCAATGACCGAAATAACAGTTAAAAAAGTTCCTAGATAAATGACAAGAGCGAAGTAGCGCCGCGCCCTAAAACAACAAGTGTAAATATAATGCGCGAGTTAAAAAAGAAGAGAAAAAAAAAACAGCTAAAGCATGCCGATATACGAAGCATGGACGTAACGTTTCAGCAGGCTGTTCCATATGTGTTTTTTTCTCCTTTCTCACAGCTTTGGGAGCGTTTCTACAAGTTCTCACAAGAATCCCATACACACAGACAACGATTGCCGACATTGTCCTTTAGCTACCACACTCTTCCTTGATGACGTGCGAACAACTCCCAAACCACAATTCGCGGACAAAGATAGGTTCAACGCGATAAAGGCGCTCCGCCATTCCTACTAGAAGCTACTTTGAAACATAAAGTAAAATGTGTGCTTGTGAAACAAGTGTTAAAGAAAGATATAAAAACTCATGCAAACTCCACGTACACATGCAGCCACTGAGTGACGCCATCAGCGAGCTAGAGAAACAACGGCGTTCGTGCATTCCACTCTCGTCTGTCCACGAATGCACATCTTCCATGACACTTCCTAGCTGCACCAAAACGAAATAAAATAAACGGTGCGAAGGATCTTATCTAAGGGACAACGCCACTTCGACCGCTGTTGAGATTCGAGACGACGATGCACCTGGGCGCGGTGGGGATGACGTAGATTGCGTTGGCCGGTGCGGGGCGCGCTTATTGCACGGCACCGGATCCCGGTTATTGGACCGTCGCTCGCAGGGGGGCGCGACGGCTGGCTATTGCGCTAGACGACGGCCGAACTGGCCGGCCGTTGGGAGCTCAGTGGTAGGCCCGTTGCCGGAACAGGGCCGAGATCTCTTCCACGCTCTTGTTTTTCGTCTCCGGCACGAAGTAGTACGTGAAGACCCAGAAGAAGAGCAGCAGCGCCGTAAAAATGAGGAAGGTGTAGTGATACAGCACGCCCTGCAATAGACACCAAAGCGGACCAAGATATAGTAACACGGAGTCATCTGAAAGGCACAGCATGAGGAAGCGAAAGAAGCACCATCATCATGGTGCTGCGGCCGCGCGTGATCCATAGATTGTAACTCTTAGACAACCCGTTGAATCCTCTATGGGTGCGTCAGCTTCTGCAGCGAGGCATCCTCGCGTAACAGTGCAATATGAGACCGTACAGGACGACTTCTCACCTCGGCTGTGTAGATTTAATCACGCGGTAAGGCTTGCGCCAATGCACGGCGGTAGGATGCACCTTCATATCAACAGCGGCAGTAGTAGGAAACATTGCGCAATGTGGTTAAGACGATAGGGTGTACTCGGTATGCCTCGAAGAATAAATACGATAATGACAATGCCGGCGATGCTACACGTACATTCCGTTAAGCATGAGTGCGGAAGGACGGTCTTCGAGTTATATTCACTTGTGTATACGAAAAGGTTTAAGGGTCTTTTTTGTTTTTTTAACTGCAATTACTAAAGATGTTTTTTTGTTTTTTTGTGGATAAGGCTAGCGGATCCGGTAGACATCAAAGCAAGAACGTAACGACCTATTTAACGAATTAATTAGCCTTTTTAAATATTACTCTCAGCCGACATATTCAAATTTAAAAAAAAAAAAAATATTTAGTCCGTTAGAATAGTGCAGTTGCCAGATTTAAGAATAAGTTCTGCTACGCGCTCTCCAGTGACTAATTTAAATAGTCAGAGGTCAGAGACTCGAACTCCAATCCGTACCGACGCACCGAGTCCCCGAACCCAAGCCGGCGATGATCGTGCTCGTGCACTGCCAGTGCCCCAGTTCGGTTCCGCGGGCGCATTACGATAATAGGGAATTGTAGTAGACCGTTTTCGCAGCCCGCTAAGCACCCGGATAGCGCTCCGTAATCCGCCACAAGACCTTGAACTATGCAGACAAGGCTGGCGGCGCGCATGCGCAGCTGCGGCGTTTTCTTCGGGGATACCGTAGCGGAGGAGAGAAACGATCTACTACAACTCCCCAATGTGGAACAGCTTTCCGAAGGAGCAAAAGAAACATAATCCGGTATTTCGAGCTTTAGGGGACCGTTTTGGCACACCCGGTACGGTAGGGTGGGCCCTCCGGTACAAACTGCGCATATGCGAGTGTTCTGCGGTAGTAGCGAGTTTTAATAGACCGTGTTTCCCCCTCCGCTAAGCCCCTCCGCTACCCGGAACTCTACCGCCATGGCCATAAGCGCGCAGGCGCAGTGGCGGTTTCGTCGTAGCGTAGGTTTAGAGGAAGGGGAAACACGGTCTACTAAAACTCCCTAGTGAATGCGCAATGCGTCCCGGAGCGCCCATCGTACCCTATGGGATGGGCAAAAACGGTTCCCTGAAACTCCCTAGTGTCTGCAGGGCGTCTGTAAGCAGTGTGGTCGCGGCTTTATGGTTCTTCTCATTGTTCAGTCAAGTGCATCGAGCTCTTCCAGTTGGCATACGGTATACTCACCGTGAGCGGAAGAAAGCCCACACCCACGACGAAGTTGGCGCTCCAGTTGACGCCCACCGCGATGCTGGTGGCCAAGGGCCGTGCACCCTGGCCGAACAGCTCGCCCACCAGGAACCAAGGAATGGAGCCTGGTTGGACGAAAGAGGGCGAGGACCGGGTCGTCACGAACACGACAGTCTCCGACGTTTGCCACCTCTATCGTGAAGCCCACGAAAATTGTGTCGCGTGTTTGGACGGCGGGAAGTGAGTCAGCCCCAAAGGGCGTCTGGTGCCCTCGCTGTACGTAAGAAATTTATACAGCGCAGTATCACGTCTAGCCAGGGGTCCTTTACGTGGATCGAACGGAACCAATTAAAAATAAAATGTAGAATATTTTAAAACCGACAACGTCCTCATTTCCTTTTGGTAAATGAAAATCTATAATCTGACACGGAATGGCTACTGCGTAAACAATAGATCTTTTTTTTTCTTTCTTTTTAATTTTGAATATCACGATACCCACAGAAAAGGTGCAGCAAACAGACCAACAAAACACAGACGACAGACAACGCCATAACCACTTCATAAACAAAAACTGAAAACAGACTGTCATATATAAAAAAGATCACTTGAAAATTGAGCATTGCTGCAGAACTCTCGAGTCCAATCAAGCTGTTTTCTGCTTATACAGCGCACCTCTCTATACCAAGTTGAGAAGCATAACAACGTTAAGGCTGAAGCCTCTTGACACCTCCAAATATCTTTCACAAAGTGAAATGTCTGAACGTTTTATGGAATAATAAAGCGACTTTTTCCAAACACCAAATCAATAGCATGACACGCAGTGACAAATTAATAACGGTTTATAGTAGCCCAGAACCTCGAGGTTCTTTAAGCCAACGCGTATTTTCTATTTTATGGTAATGGAACTTACGTTTCGCAAGTTTTATTACTTTTAAGTACGAGAACGCGCCTTAGATGGCGAAAACATCGAAAATAAATTGCGCACTTCGTCTATACCGCACGTGACCATGGAAAATAGAACAAAAACAACTCTCAACATCCCACTCTCGGCCAAAAGTTTTTGTGCAAAATTAAAATAAAAAAAATTAAAAACCTCAATTAGAATTGTTTTTCTTTTTTTTTTTGGGGGGGGGGGGGGGTAGTTTAGTTTCTGCACATTGTGTTTCAGTAACAAACAAAGTATTAACACCCTATCATCGTTCCCAGGTCGATTCCGATAGAATACAGGCGATCTTCCGACAGGAAGTGCTTCTACAGCTGCTTATGTAATAAAATCGTACCGGCATCGCCAAAGATGCCCCCAAAGTATGTATTTGAACTATATACTCGGCCGTGCGCTTCAACTGGTACTGCAGAGCGACAAAGTATACTATACAGTCCTGCAGCAGCTGTGAGCAGCGTAGTCCTAACCTGTAGTCCCGCACATCCTAAGAAAAGGGCGGGGAGTGGCGAGACATCTGATTATCTCTCTGCAGCCAATCGGAAATGGCATTAGTTCGCCAGAACGTCGAAGAACCAATCACGAAGCGTGAACACAACTAGGCACGCCTTACGCTTCTTTGGCTGTCAATGACCATATATCAGAACACGCGCGTAGCAAGCATACGCAACAGAGTCAATTCGAGAACGGCCCACGTTCCCGAAAGGCACAACTAATACCCGATTGTTATTTTGGAATTGTTCTATGGAGGACGCAAATGTGAGCTCTCACCTGGCCCAGTGGCGAACATGACGACAAATCCGATGACAGCCACGATGCTGACGTACGACAGCCACGGCACACTCTCCTGCGGAGCACGAGGAAAAAGAGGTGGAACCTTAGTCACCATCGCAGACATTACTTTTGAGCACAGGGAAAGCGACTGAAGGCGCGCAAGTTTAGCCAAATTTCCCGCACATTGCGAGTCGGTTCCTTCATTGCTTCGTTCGTTTTAAATGCGGAACATGTCTCGTTTCATTTAACTTCTAGCCTTCTCCGACAAAATCATTCAGCCATACGACCCATGTCCCATAATGTCATTCAAAAATCCACACACAAACACAAAAAAATAGTATTTTGACTGCACAAGCCTAAGTGATTCGAGACAATCTCCCTTATCTTAACCACGTATTGTGCAAATAAACCGCACAATATTGCCGGTGACGCGCGACATCTATTTAATTAAAATATTGCCGATTGCAAAAACGAATGAATGATAGGTGAAAGAAAACAAAATATATGCGTGTCATCTGGCAGGTAAAGTATGGCAGGCCACCAAATCTAAACATTAAATGTGTTCTTTGAAAACAAAACAAAAAAAAATATATGTTATTGTATTTTCATATGATATTATCGGCCGAATACGATCCATATAGATTCCTTTTCTTCTTATAGGGCAAGAATAATTCGGGTAATACGAATCATACCTTGCAAAAACATTTGATGCTTTAACATACCCATTGGTTCTACTCACACCTTCGAGACCTCGAATTATTTCTTGAAACAAAGCATAAGCGGTGCCCAGAAATAAGTGCGTAAGCAGCATATACAAGTACTATTCGCGTCTCTGCGAATTTCCCGAGACTTGACCAGGAAGGCGCTTACCTGGAGTGCTAGACAGAGCGTGAGGATGACCGTGATGACAGCCATGCCGCCGAGACCGACCAGGTGGAGCGTCCGTCGGCCGGCCCTCTCGACCAGGACGAGCGAGACGAGGGTCATGAGCACGTTGACGGCGCCCATGCCCAGGGTGGCTTGCATCGCAACGTCCGGGGTCAGTCCCGCCGAGCGGAATATGTCCGTCGAGAAGAAAATGGCCTGCAGACGCAGCAACAACAACAACACTGCCTTGCTTACACATTCTGCCAGATGCAATGGAGGTGCGATATCGCTTCATAGGCTTCTTAACGAGCTGTGCTTCGAAATGCCTCCGCGCCTGCTATAGTCGGCGACAGTTAAGAACTCAGTAGAACCTCAGCCTCCAGGGGTGCTATGTTGCGCTTTTTGTACTCCCAGGAGACTTGGAAGAGGGAAGTGACGTCAACGACTAGAACAAACGCAGATTGGATGTTGACAGAAGAAAACAAAATCAACATCCAATCTGCATTTGCTGCGCTGTTGACGTCACTTCCCTCTCCCTAGTCTCCTGGGAGTACAAAAAGCGCAACATAGCCCCCCAGTGCGCATTCTTTTGTCTCCTACCGGTCATTGGCTGAGCGTGTGACGAAGCGTTAGCGAAGGCAGAAAATTCGCGCTGAAGTATACTAATACGTAGTTCCTACCCTACTGAGCAGCACCTCTTATTACGCAGTGGAAAGAGGATTGGGGGAGGGGGGGGTAGGCTGCGTAATCCTCATCCTGCCCACACCAGGCCTCCGCGAGGCGCAACACCAATTGGTCGCGCGCGCTATGGCGCGAAACCAACACCTGCGCTTTGTTGCTGACACTGTCTCCCATGACCTTGCCACAGTGCGACCAGCCCCAACACGAGCACGCATCAAGCTACACTCTAAAAAATGTCTGTGCGTCTACTTTCACGCACAAAACTCGGAGAACCAATCAGCGCAACTTACGGAGGCAGCTCAGCGAATGACGATGCCGAAACACCTGTTTAGACCAAAAAACGCAGTCTGAGTTGTGACATTAAGCAGTGCAAAACGTCACACTTGCATTGCTTAATGTCACAACTCAGACTGCGTTTTTTGGTCCAAACATATGTTTCGGCATTGTCATTCGCTGAGCTGCCTCCGTAAGTTGCTGTGATTGGCTGTCCGAGTGTTATGCGGGAAAGCAAACTCACCGGCTTTTTTTTAGAGTGTAGGTCCGTGCAGAATTCCCATATGAAGCGAGAAAAGAACGCAAAAGGAATTCGAACCAGAGGAAGAGACACACAGACCAGGCGCCGACTGTGCTTAATTTCACATTAAGTCCAGGCGCAACCGACACTACGAGCTGACAGGGCCAATCAGAGAGAGCGTCAAAAACGCCCTATCATGGTGTTCTTCGTATTTATGTACGTGTTCTATCATCGCTAAATCAATCATAAACAGAAAATATCAAATGACTTGCGCTTTTTGACTCTGCATGATTGGTCTGATTAGCTCGTAGCGTCGTCTGCCTCTGACTTAAAGGACCTCAAAACTCGATCCTTTGCGCTTGGCGCAATAAAGAGCATGATTTTTCATTTGGTTACTGGCGACGGACGTTAAGGAGACAAGAGACAAGCACACACGCTTCAAAAAACAAGGGAGAAACACAGACACGCGTCTAGACATGCGTAACGTTAACCGGCTCGCCTGTTTATTAAGCTGGTCTTCCACTGAAATGTGTTGTCTTTTTTATGTAGCTGAATTTATGTACAACAGAAAGGTTTTTATGCCAGAAGGTGAACAAGACCTACCGCGTTGATTCCGGACAATTGCTGCGACAGCATCACCATGATAGAGATGACGAGAGGGATGCGTAGTGTCAGGTTGTGCATCATCTCGTAAAGCGTGACCTGTCGGAAAGCAAGTGAGTCAACCATATCGTTCCAGCATAGTTGTAAACCCGAGACTAGGGATACGGACAAGAGACAAACACAGAACGACACATGTATGAATGATTGTTCTTTATAATGAAAATAGAAATATTCCTGCACCAAAACGTCCAACGGCGGAAATAATGCCCAGTGAGACCAGCCTAGCGAATGAGTCCTATAACACTGCAGAAAGCGAGAAGTTTGCTCAAAACGAGCTTAAAGTACTGTGTTTGAGACAGCCTCAATTCAGTCGTAGAGGCTATCCCACGGGCACACGCGTAATGCAGCCTTCAAACTGCTCTGCTCCAATTCTACTGTTGGAAACTATCGTTGGGGGTGCCTTTTTCATATCACAAGCAGTTCTGCTCAGTCCTATCAAATGCACGAACGGCAGTATGACTTCAGATTATCAGTACGTGGAATGGAAGCTAACTGTGTGGTCGGAGGATATGAGCTGTACAACTGGGCGATGCACGCGAAAGACCTCGGGGCGGGAACCACTCGTGGTCAAATTTTCTTTTTCATGGGGTCAAAGTTTGGTCAAGGTGAGAGCGAGAGCGTTCTCGGCTCCTAATTGGATGTGGCGCTACAGCTCGCGCGTAATCAAATTATGAGACATTTTTGACCCATTCGCGAGTTCACAATCGGCCCAAACATTTGGATGAGAACGTCTCACCAACACACAAATAGCGAAAAAGGTCTCACGGCCTCTGGTGTACTTGTCCTTAGTACTTCATCCACCGATCAATATCAGCTTGTGTACCGCAGCAGAACAACTTTAGATTTGTACACCAACCGCGAGTTGCCAATGGCTTTTCAACGTCAATTACCAGACGATCACCAATTTCAGCCTGCGTCCACTCATTTCGCCGTGGCGCTCGGTTCATAACAGACGATCGAATTTTTCCCGATCTGCTAGCAGACGAAGTATGGCGCTTTCTTGTTTTATTTCTGCCTATGAAGGTCGCTTCGTAGAAGATGAACCGCGTTCTTCGCTCGCGTTAGCAGATGAACGGTCTACGAACGCTACAATCGCTATTTCCGCGAGGCATATTCGATCTGACTCTCGCTCTCGCACTGACCGATATCGGACCCTATACGACGTCATCTGAAACCAGACAGACTGACCCGTACAACAAATTTCAAGCTGTCTCAACTGTGCTTCGCGTTTATTTTTTTGTTTCAACCAAGCCGCCTCAGTGAAATATTTCAGGGGCTTGGGACCCCTAAGAGGAGGTTCACTCACCCTAGGCACGAGTTTGATGGCCTCGTACTCGGCCCGCATCTCGTCCATCTCGTCGTGTACCTCGATGGTCCCGCGGAGCCAGGTGAGGGCCTGCTGGGCGGCCACGTCCCTGCCCTGGTTGATTAGCACGTACTTAGGCGATTCCGGGCAAAGCGGCAGGGTGGCCAACATGAAGACGCTCGGAACGATGGTCATGGCGAACAAGTAGGGCCAGCGGTCCGTCGTGCCCAGCACCGAGGGCATGCCCAGGATCTGGCTGGCCAGGATGGACACGGTCACCACCAGCTGGTAGATGGTGCCCACGGCGCCCCGAAGGTGCAGCGGCGAGATCTCCGTCAGGTACATGGGCGCCAGGCCGGCGTTCAGGCCAGAGTTGAGGCCCACGAAGAAGCGGCCCAGGATGAGCATCTCGTACGATCGGGCAGCCTGCGAAGGTTGTCGCACGGAGCGTTACGACGGAACGACTACGATACCGAGGAAATGCTAAGAATAGAGGAGAGATCGCGGACAACGCCTTAATGTGGGCTAAGTTTGCCCGAACCTGGTTATGAAAACCTTGATCCAAAAAGTACTACCTTGTCGTTTCGTTATGATTTCGTTTTGTAACATTTTCTCTAAGGCCGCAATGGTCTTTTGGCGAACGCCGGTCACAGCTGCTGCGTGCCTTCGAGGTCCCGTTCTAGTTTCCCTTGAAGCCCCGCATCGTAGTGGGGTAGCTACAATGGTAAAACCAGCTTCGAGTTTTCAGAACTCGTGCCTCTGCCTTGCGTGTGTTCGATACTGTTATTGTTGTTTGTTTACTATTTACTTGCTACGCAGGCTTCAAGAGAACCGTCAAAACGCCGAGATTAAGAAAATGCATTGTATAGAGTAATTCACTTTTTATGGGTGGTTCTCATTTGAACCCATTCGCATTTCTACCTTCTCGTTTTTACCTTCTCATTTCAACCCAGCGCAAAACAACTTTCGCGTTTCTCCCTTTCTCATTTAAACCGTTCTCAAAACAAACTTTCGGGTTTTGACCCTTCTCAAAACGACTTTTCTTATTTTAACCTTTCTCATTTCAAATTTTCTCAAAACATACTTTCCGGTGTTGACCATTGTCAGAAAGACTTTTATCATTTTAACCTCTCTCATTTCGAACCCAAATTAATCCAACATCATGATCTCGCAATCTTTCTGTGGTATTTATGGCGAATTCGGGTAATTAATTGCCTTCGAGCCCTTGCCTGTGGCACCGGCGACCAAAAACGCGCCAGCGGCGCATCACGTCTCAACCCGAATGCGAAGCACAATCAACTGGCGTTTTTATTTGACTGGGTGGCGAGTGAACTCTGTTAACTTCTTCTTCGATCATTCTATGGTACCATGAGCACGCTGCATACGCCAACAACATAAATTACGACTCTTTGAGATGTGTGTAAACAGAAGCGGTTTCACAAAACTTTTCAAAATATTGGCATTGCCACAGTTTGTACAGCTGACAGAATATTAAAATATAAAATCAATGGAAGGGCAGATGTATAAATCAGTGTGGTGCTGGCCGCACGCGCGTCAAATTTCAATAAACTTCGTTTGGATTTTCGATTAACTGTTGCCACGGAGGCTTGCCAGCGTCGCTTTCCATGTCTGTTTACTGTAAGTAGAGAGTTATTGTAGATCGTTCCCATGACTCCGATAACGATACCCGATACTCCGCCACCGCCTCCCTTGCGCATGCATAGTATCTTTATCGGGGCTATCGAAAGGATCTACTAAAACTCTCTCAGTACTTTTTTTGGAATCCTCAGTCTTCTCATTGCACCCACCCTCCTTGAAATTGTAATGCGTGTTCAAGTTTCAAACTGCATCACTATGCATACTTTTTTTTTCAGCGGTGTAATAGCTTGTTATTACAGAGTTGTAAAATAAAGTGATGTATGATGCAGCCCGTGTCACAGAGCAAACATACCTTGCTCAGGCTGGATAAATTCTTCCAAAAATGTTGACTTTCCTTGAAACATAAATTATCTTTCTCTTCGTTGTTTTTGCTATCTTGTCTCAGAGCACAAAAGGGTGCCTGTCTCGATGGCTTCGTTTGCCACTCGAACCCGCTATTTGTCGCCTCAGCGAGCATTGTTTCGTTTGGTTCCCTATCCCGATTCGGATGTGACGATACCGGATACAGTCTGGCAGACAAGCTGCCCGCGAACTCTTGGAGCTCGGGAAAACTTCTGCTGGTAAATTGCCGGTACACGCCTGAGAAGCGCAACCCGAAAAGCTTGCACCCGCCAGCCTTTGACCACGCGAACGCCCTTGCCGAGGATATGGGAAAACTTTTTTTCAGAGAAAATGACCATCCGAATTGGCCATTACAAGCAATAACACACGACCAGCACAATGATCCATCCGCTCCAAACGACGACATCTTAACGACATACAGCGATAGAAGAGAAATGAAGTACCGAATCTGCGCTAGCACTTTTGAAACCACGTCACCATGTGACCACGCAGCTACGTCAACAGACTCGGGGTGGCACGCAGGCATAAGGAAAATTGTTTCATGTGCTATGCAAGAGATGGTGCCGCTTCGCTTCATCTTCAGCCTTCATCCTCAACTGTTTTTCCTTCTTTCTATACCTCACCACGGTGTTCAAATGACAACGGGTTCAAATGAGAAAGGGTCGAAACGCGAAAGGTTAAAACGCCAAGGGCATTTTGCGAATAGGTTCAGACGAGAAGGGTTCAAATGAGAATGGGTTCAAATGAGACGGGTATAAATGAGAAAGGGTCGAAACGCGAAAGGTTAAAACGAGAAGGACATTTTGCGAATGGGTTCAAACGAGAAGGGTTCAAATAAGAATGGGTTGTTTCGAGATACACCCCTTTTTATAACAGTAGATCGAGCACTCGAGAGCAGTGCAGTATGAGACAACACACTCAAGCTCACATTTCTGTCGGTCATTCCTCATAATTACAATAAATATTGTCGTCATGATAATAAATAGGAAAAAAATACACAGAACCCAAGACGCAGTTCATTTAAATTGAAACCCTGGTTTCAAGATGTACCTAGTAAACTTTCGAAATCGATAATTGTTGGTACCACAAATTTTGGAAATGTCAAAAACAAAGCGCGTTGAGAAAGCTTTTGTTTAAAGACTTCAAAAAGAAAATAATAGAGTCTGCCTTGGCGTGTCGGACGGCTGCTAGTCACCTTGGAACTGCCCATCAAGACGGCTGCGAGCAGCACGTTGATGTTATTGAGGAGGAGACCCCCCTTGCGGCCGAAGCGCTCGGCCACGAAGGCCGTGAGCAGACCGCCGATCATGCCGCCCACGCAGAAGATGGCCACGAAGATGCTGAAGATGAACCTGACGGTGCCTTCGCCCGCGCTCTCCTCGAACCGGTGGTTGTACGTGTCGTTGATGAACTCTTCAACGAGCAATTGGGGCGCGTTCACCACGCCCGTGTTGTAGCCGTGCTGAAAGGCCGAACCCAGGGCCGCCGCCGCGATGGCGAACACCAGGTGCCGCGTCAGACCCTGCGTGGACACACAAGAGGATGGGTTTAAAAATATATTCAACTTTATCGGTGTGCTTTAAAAGAGCTCAGGGGCAATATTATACGTGGGGAAAAAGATTTAACCGTCGCGTCCCTAGCGACTAGAAAGGGATACTGAGCCGAAATTTGGATTCCGCGAAATAAGGCCGCAAAAGCGTTGACCTGCACACTACGAACTCCAAAGCATCACTCATATATCGATATCTCAAACAGATGCCAGTTCTTTTTGGAAAAGAAGGGCGCGATAAAGCGAATCTTTGACGTTATTGTCCTGCTGGAAAATTTAAGAATGAGGGGAAGCGGCCTCGCTTCTCTCCTCCTCGCTTCGGTCCACCAGCTCGGCGGGACGTAGCGAGGAGGAAAGGGAACGAGATTCGCGACGTGGCATTGTCTCGTCGGCCGTGTTCAATCGCGCACTTTTTTTCCACAAATACGGCGATTTTTTAGAGATATCGGTGTAGGTGGGTGATTTCAGATAAGATCGACCAAAGGGTGGCTGGTCGACATTTTTAAATCAACTGATGTTTTTATATGACATTGTCTAGTGTCTGGTATAAACGAATCCACACTTAGTTTTGACCAGAAAAAAAAAATTTGGAGACAAGAAAAATCGTAAGGCAGGGAGAGGTGGACAGTTGCAATAACGCGCACTGATGGAGCGGGCAAGTTTGAAAGTGAATAATTAAAACAATAAAATTAGGAGAATTTTCAAACTTTTTACAAACAAACTATGGGTACAACTTGCTTGTAATATAAAGTAATAATATTTATTAAAATTTTATTTAGTTTTCTAAAAATTGCCAAACATGCCTGCTCGAACGACAAATGGCAAACTTTGGAAATCTGTATCTCATGAAATAATTTAATCATTATTACATAACTTGCAGACATTATTTTACTAATATATAGCTAATATTTAAAAATATATAAGGTATCTGAGTGACACAATAGTTACAATATATTTAGGCAAACATGGGAAAAAAAATCAAAGAAAAATTCCAATGCGAATAAAAAAAAAACACCACCTTCGATTTTTTTAAAATTTGGGTACCCTGTTATACTCTATTTCGGCATTCATTTCTATTAAAACATGTTGCATCATTGCACTGTGAAAGAAGAAACAACTCCCCAATGTAGGGTCCTTTTTCAAAGCCTACACTTAGCAGTGTCCTATACAAGAAGTGACTCTGAGTTCCAGTTTCATGAAACTTGCACAAATCTTTTATGTACATTTATTCAGATGAGGTCATTGATAAAAAGAGCGATCGGTCACACAGTAAAAGGGAGGAGAGACTATATACAGCATTTTACATAAGCGTACAAAGTGGTATCATATTAGAGACTAATGATTTGAGAAAAGATGATGCAGTGTGAAGTTGTACCTTCCGGTATATTTTACATCTAGAGTAAAATAAATAACTTTACTTCCACACACAAAAACAAAGATATAATAGTAAGATATTTAGGTTGGCTGTGTATTTACGATTACAAACAATTTCAGGTGACGGATGCCATAGTGCCTAACTAGAGCAGCTTCGATGCTCTCGGTGTATGAATGAATCGTGGCAAGCCGATATATTTTATCCTGCTCGAGGATAACATTTTGGGATTTTTTTTTATAGTGATCAGATAAAAATTATTAGTAACCACCAACAAAAACAGTAGGTTAAATACCCCGTGAAGAAAAATGTGATAAATAATATGTCCCTGAATTCAAAATGAGCAGTCCTTGGGAAATCAAATTCGGCACTTTACGCTAAGGTTTTCCTCGCTGTACCCATTTAATAAAGTTGCTTCCAAGCAGCAATAAACGTCATTTAATATACGGCTGAGACAGAGGCAATGCGAGGCAAAGCAGTATAGACAAGATCAAATACACCTACGGCGTTTTTGTCAATCAGTTTTCCCAGAGTTAAGCTGTAACTATAATAAAGCGTGGGTAACTGGATGATGCAAAATAACGATACATTAAAACATCTCTAGAGATATTAATCGGTTTTTGCGTGATTGCGTTGCATATTCAAGTTACATATACACATGCACAGCTTCTCTTTTTTTTTTTTTACGCTTTTGCGTCGCAGTTAAAATCTCAAACCCCTTAAGCCCGCCAGACTAATTCGTCAAGTAAGCCATTGCCTCCCAGGACACGCCCCGTTCGGAGAAGTCAGTCGCCCTGATCCATCTTCCCGTATACACTCTGTTTAGCCCAAAGCTGAGGGTGCGGCGGGAGCTACGCTCTTGACGGACCAATCAACCGCTTCCGTTTCGTCGCCTGACCTCGCTCTCGGCGCGCAGGTATGGGCGGGAGCGGAACCATGTGGGGAAAGGTGGGCGTATGACTGGTCCGACGAGCACGTAGCTTCCATCTCACCGTCTGCTTAGGGTTGCACGGAGTATAGAGGCACAAGCAAGTTAGACAAGGTTAAGCGACGCCCTTAATGACCCATTCCTTTTACATATACGCCGGTGCAATTCTCTGAGCCCTCTGGTCCTTCAAATCGCAGGTCTCGTCTTTTTTTATTTATATATATATATATAAGTTGCCGAGGGTGGTTTCCACGTGACTCTTGGTACTGGGACAAAGGAGTCTTTGGAATCAAAGAATAATAAAAAAGACGAATTGCCTTCAAAGTGCCTCCGCCTTCACCATGACGTTGACCGACGGTAAACGAGTTTTGAGGGGGGGGGGGGGGGGGGGGGGGGGGAGGAAGGACACTCTCTTAAGGCAGAAGTCATGTTCTTAAAAGACTTTACAGGGTGAAACAAGGAGACGTCAGGCTCTTTAAATCGACCGGAAAATTCGGTTTCTTAACCTACCGCGCTACGACTTTGTGCAGCGTTGCCCACAGATGTTGCATTTTTTTTTCTTTGTAAAATTTGCAAAGAGCGCACTTACCTGAGGAAAAAGTGAAGAAAGAAAAAGGCTTAGCTCCTATGGAAACGCAGCGACGCCACCGGTCTGCAAACAACACGGCACCGTTTCGCACGGGAGACAACAGATGGCGCAAGCGGTCGCGACGCCAACTGCCGCCAACGAACGAGCAGACGACGCCGAGAGCCAGCCCTTTTGCAGAAAAGGAACTGCAGTTCCTTGCTTTACCGCGCCTGTCTTTTTTGTTTCTGCGACTGTCGCCGCCTGCGGAACGCGCGCCGCTTTTGAGTCGAAAAGATCGTCTGCTAAAAAGGCCTGCTCTCGGCGCCGTATGCTCGTACGTTGGCGGCGTTTGTTGCGCCATCTCTTGTCTCCCGTGCGAAACGGCGCCGTGTTGTTTGCAGACCGGTGGCGTCGCTGCGTTTCTATAGGAGCTAAGCCTTTTTCTTTCCTTACTTTTTCCTCGGTTAAATTCGCTCTTCGAAAATTTTACAAAAAAAAATGCACCATCTGTGGGCAACGCTGCACAAAGTCGTAGCGCGATAGGTTAAGAACCCGAATTTTCCGGTCGATTTAAAGAGCCTGGCGCCTCCTTGTGTCACCCTGTGAAAATAAACTAAGCATCGAACGAAACGCGAACAGCATGGCTTTTGCGCTGTCCGTGTGCTGTCCTACGTTTAATTATTTATCGAGTTTTTACACTATACCAACACGTTCACTTCAATACCGTATCAAACTTCCTGTGTGGAGGTTTTCGCAGTGGGACTCTTTCATTAAACGGTGACGTTCTAGTTACCCGCTTTGAATGGTAAGCAATTTAAAGCGACCATGAAATGAATTTTCGGCTGGGATAAACTGGAATTTTACTAATCGCGTATCGTTTATTAGTGCGCCAACATAAAACTACTACACGAGCATAGAGAGCCAAAAGCCTGCTTTTCGGTACGAAAATTTGAAAATATAGCCGACTATTTCCTACCTCCTTTCCTTTGAAAGTTTCCCGCCCTTTCACTGTGATGCATTCGCGTTACCCAAAGCACGTCAGCCAAACTCAGCTCACGCATTGGACACCAGCACTGAGTAACTCGGACTTTTGCGCGCGTCAACAATCAATCCGTCGACGAATATTTGAATACGCGTTCGTGGCCAACGTGTGCTGTGACGGCATTATCACTTGGAAATCTCAAGTTTCATCGTGTGCTTAAAAAGCACGGTGGAAGCTTGGAGTCATTGCCTCCGGTGCCTAAGCACGTCACGAGCACGTGATTTCTAATATCGCTGTTGAGTTGAGGATTAAAGCTCAGGAGGAAGAAGTTGTAAGATCATTTCATGGTCGCTTTAAGTGAAATATTACGGCTAACATGCTTTCTTTTTTTACATACGAACAGCAGAAAAAGACGAAAAGACAAATAAGGCACATCGCTTTCAAAAACTGTGTTATTTCTTTTGTCCATTGGTGTTATTCTTTCGTTCAGGCGTAATTATTTCACCAGCGCGCTCAGGTTTCCAGACTTGGATTTTTAACAAGACTATGTGGGTGTGCTAACTTTGCAGTGTTCTTTTTGTCACGGTCGGGCTAGAGTCAAAAAGTTCGCTCTCTTACGGCCTCCACGTAGCGGGAGAGGAGGGGGGGGGGGGGGGGGGCGTTGTTCTTCCCTTCTACCGCAGCTCGCTGGGGTCGCCGAGATGTCACCCCTCCCATAGCACTTTAACTCCTTCTCGAAGGCACCCCAATCTCACCGTGTTACGCTCTGGGGACAAATCGGAGGAGTTCCCAATTTAATTAGAATCTTGAGGTCGCCTGCCTGAACCCGTCATTTTCGTCTTTTCTTCGAAAAAACAAATTTCCAAAAACAAGATGTTATTTATCGTCAGCCAAAAGCATTATGATCAGCGCGTAGCAATTGTTTCTTATTAGTACAGTGGCACAGAGTTTCAATCACAATGGTCGGAACTGTTGTTCCGGGTGGTTCAGGCAGTTGGGAGGGCTGGTAAGATCGCGCCCCCTACGCGGTAGAAAAATATCCTATTGCTTTTACGTGGGAGCAAGGGACGTAAGAAATGCCGCTGTCTAGCCCGATCATACCATCTGTACAATCTGAAACACG